ACAGGTGCCCGCCACAACACCCGGCTATTTTTTGGTTGCAGCCATTATTGTTGTTTGGCGGCCCGGGCTGGATTCGAACCCGCCACCTTAGGTGTATGTGACTGGCGCCTTAGCCACTTGAGCCACAGGTGCCGAGCCGAAATGGATAACTCTTACAGCAAAAGATGGCTAGAACATATTAGTAAGAACTCAATCAATGTTTAAGTAATGAAATATAATGATCAATGTTTGTGCCAAGTACCAGTGAGAACCTTATGTATAATCTCAGCAGCCCTAAGAGGTAAGCATATTTCCATTACATAGATTAAATAAACAGGAAAATTATACTTTTAAGAACAGGGTTGTTTAATGTTGTAGTTAGGCTGTTTGCGTATCACCAAAACTGTAATTTAAAAGTTGAGTGGACAAACACAGCAACAGAAAATTGTAGGGCAAGGTCTGGGAGAAAAGGAGGGAACTCCCAAGGTACCGACAAATCCAGCCATACTCCGCCGAAAGTGAGAAGTTAGCCAAGCCAGCGCCGTAGGCTGGCAGCGGGCGGCCTCATCGGCGGAAATGACTCCTATTGGGGAAACCAACCCGCCTCCACTCGCTTACCACCTGCGGAGGCGTGGCTTGAGGTGACGCCCCCTGTGGGCCGATTGCCCCGTGGGCTAACACCGATTGGCTGCCGCAGGGATGGGGCGGGCTCTGCCGACCGACTCGCCTCTCCGATCTGCGGCGCCTGCGCATGAGCCTCCGGGAGAGGGAAGGAGTGGGTCTGTGCGGAGGGACGCGTAGATTAGCAGCGCCGTGGCTCCAGAGGCGGAGCCGGAAGCGCCACGGTTTGACCCCGGAGCCCCTCTGTTTTCGAAGGGGCTGCTGTCTTCCTCACGGCCAGGTCCGCCTCCTCCCCTTCTTCCCCGGTACCCGGAGGCTGAAGCCCCGGGTTGGGCGGGGCGGCGCAGCCCAAGCTCTCGGACCCGGAAGAAGCGCCGTCTCCCGCCTCCACCATGGAGCCCACCGTGCTGTCCCTCACCGAGGAGGACCTGACCGAAGTGAAGAAGGATGTGAGTAGCGCGACCTTGGTCCGGCGCCGCGCGGGGGCCGGGCGGGGGCGGGCCGCAGCCCCACCGGGGAGGAAAGCGGAAACCCGGAGTCGTGTCCGAGGAGCGGAAGGTCCGGGCACGCGAGGCCTGCGGCACGCCCTGCACCTGAGGAACTGTGGTGGAAGTGATTCTCCCGTGGCCTTTAATCTGTGTTTTAAATCTGTAAACGGAGGGCTTGGGTTTTTGACACTTTGTGCAGCGCTTCGTTTCTTCACAGTCAGCTTCTAGCCCATCCTTCCCTCACCCATCCCGTCGGGATTTGCCCCCTGAGCTCTTAGGGCTGCTTTGTTAGGGATCTGGCAGCTCAGATCCTTCCTTAATACTGGCTGCCTAGGCTGTTCCGGTCCAGAGCAAAAGGATCACAAGCAGTGGAGCAAAAACGTGAAACTCTTTTGCACAGGGGGCTGGGGAAAGCTCAACAGCTGAAAGCACAACCTGGAATTCCCCTAGTAAGCAAACGCCCACATATTTAAATGGGGCGGGGGGATGAATGCATGTAGCTGAGAATTAATTTATAGGTAAACGTTAAAAAATAGGCAGTAGCTAAATTATGCTCTTTTGCTTGGGTGGTGCAGACCTGCACAGGCCTTAATAGTAATTTGTAAAGAATGACTTTACTGAGGTACGACATTTCTTTTTTCTTTCCTTTTAGTTGTTTTGCCAGATGAGACCTATATGAATACCACTAAAATACTTCATGTTAATTCAAATTAAAAACAGAAACGCAACATAAAGTTTATTCTTACTTAACACACAATACTCTTACTAAAGCATTTTTGTGAACTGGGCAGGACACAGAATATCCATTCTTTTCTCCTTTTATTTTTTTGAGACAGGGTCTCACTGTGTCGCCCACGGTAGAGTGCTGTAACATCACAGCTCACAGCAAGCTCAAACTCTTGGGCTCTCTGGTCTCAGCCTCCCAAGTAGCTGGGACAACAGGCACCCACCACAATGTGGAGCTATTTTTTTGTTGCAGTTGTCATTGTTGTTTAGCCAGCTGGGCGGGTTCAAACCCACTAGCCTCTGTATATGGCCAGCGCCCTACCCACTGAGCTACAGCATGCGCCCTAAATATCCATTCTGAATCCCTTCCTCTTCCCTCCCCTTTAAAGTTTATTACATTGTACTGGTAGTTTCAATTGATATGACTCACCAGCAGAAGGTACTGGATATGACTGGGACTTAGTTTCCTCATTCAGTACAGATCTTTGGAGCACTTACTGGAATATACTGTCCTTGGGCCTGGAAAGATACAAGAAATGAAGATCTAGCTTGTCGCCCTTTGCTCAGTGAGTAGGGCGCCAGCCATGTACACCAAGGATGAAAGGTTCTAGCCCGGCCCAGGCCTACTGAACAACAGTGACGACTGCAGCCAAAAAATAGCCAGGCGTTGTGGTGGGCACTTGTAGTCCCAACTACTCAGGAGGATGAGGCAGGAAACTTGCTTGAACCCAAGAATTTGAGGTTGCCGTGAGCTGTGATGCCACAGTACTCTACCAAGGGCGACATAATGAGACTCTGTCTCAAAAAAAAAAGAAGAAGATCTGGACCTGCTTTGCATTCTGGTTGAGATAAGACAGGAACATTGATAACTACCACAGAATAAACATAAGTGTTGTCTTATTTAAGATGAGAGCCAGTAAAAACATGAACTTGAAGAGCTAGGCTTCTCGTATTTCAGACGCTGTGTCATACAGTTTACAGTGTACTTAATCTTTACAACAACCTCTACAGGAGATAATTGTCTTTCCCATTTTGCAACTGATGAAACAGGATCTCAGAAATTACTGAGTGGAAAGAAAGACCTGATCACAAATACAGATGTGAAGAGTGACTTCCAGGCTTTTATTTTTCATTTATTTATTTGTTTAATTTTATGGTTCATTGAGGTTATCCACCTTCAAGGATTCAATTTACACTTATATCAGAAATTCATAACCTTGAAGAAACTGTGGATGGGTTTCAGAGGGTCTATGAAAAATTGTGTGCATGCTTTTTTTCTTAGAGACTTCTCCATGATGTTTTCAAAATGTTTTATGATCTTAGAAAGTTTTAAAATTATCCACATATTTGGACTTCCTTCTCTCTCACCTCTAGGCCCTTATTTCCAGATGTGTACAGGAAAGCTGCTTTATGACCTATATGTTGCTTACCTGGCCAGTCTTTCCCCCAAAGCGCTTGCCTCTCCTGCCATATTCTCTGACTCCTGAGAACTCCCACATCTTCACTATCTCCTCCTCCTTTTTGGTTGAATTTAGTTCAGTGTAATAAATATTGATTACATGCTACCTGAGGCTTATACTATAGATCTAAAATTCAAAAATTAAACATTAAGACACAATCCTAATTTGAAAATAGCTTGATTTCTTTGGGGGGGGGGGCAGACATAAATGATAATTTTAAATCACAAACTAAATGCAATGAATTTTGCCTTCATCCAAAACACTGTCTACTTGATGCTCTGATTAAGTGCAGGATACACAGCATTAAACAGAACATTCCTGGTTCTTGCCTGCTTCAAATATAGGTCATTAGAATTGAAAACAAATGTGCAGTTAACTATTAGGGTAAGTACTGTATAGGCAACAAATGCTGCTAAGACAGTAACCAGGGAAACCTACTAAAGACAGGATGACGGGGGGGTTACATTTAAACTGATCCCTGAAAGAGATGACAACTGAAGGAAGAGCATTCTAGGCAGGACAGAATTTCCTAAGGCAAGACCTTGGTGACGTGAGGAAATTGAAAGCAGGCAGAGGGTAACCTGAAGTGAAGTTGGGCTACAGCCAATTCATGAGGGGCCTTGTAAATGGTAGGGGAGTGTTTGAATTTGAGGGGGGTTTTTTTGTTTGTTTGTTACCCCCTTATTGAAAAATTATGTTACTTTTTTGAAAATCTCGTTCTGTGGTCTGCGGAGAATGTGAAAAGCGAGAAAACCAATGAGGAGACTCTTGGAATTCATATAGATGAAAAATAATGGTGATTTGGATCAAGGTGAAGGCAATGGAGATGGGTGGAGCAGGAGAATTCCAGATGCATTTTTGAAATAGAAATGATAGGACTTGGTGATGGATTAAATGTGGGAGTTGAGGAAAAGAATGGAATTAGATTAGTAAGTGGAAATGTCAAATCACCAATTAGATCTGCCAAGTCTCAGTATCAAAAGAGAGATCTGAGCTGGAAACTAAGTGTAGGATTGAATGATTTCACCTAGGAATTTGAGAACTAGGACTTTTAAAACCTTTAAAGAGAAGTGGGTTTGTTATTTTTGTGAGACAGGGTCTCACCTTGTCAGGCTAGAGTGTAGTAGCGTCATCACAGGTTACTTTATCCTCAAAGTCCTGGGCTTGAGGAATCCTGCTGCCTCAGCCTCTCCTATAGCTGGGACTACAGGGACTTGCCACCACACCCACCTAATTCTATTTTTTATAGAGACAGAGTTCTACTCTTGCCCAGGTCTCAAACTCCTAGCCTCAAGCAGTCCTCCAGTCTTGGCCTTCCAAAGTGCTAGGATTAGAGGCTTGAGCCACCACACCCAGCCAAAGAAGAGTTAAAAAGTATTTAAGAAATTAATAGCCACAGAGATCAGAAGAAAATGAGAATGTGATACTGATAAAAGACAAGAAGAATATTTCAGGGAAGGAGCAGGCAACTGTGTTCGTGTTGCATAGAAGTCGAGTAGATGAAGACTAAAAGTATTTGGTAGTAAGGAAGTCATCGGTGACACTGAGAAGGGAGGTAGGGCAGAGTGGAAATGTCTGGAATGAATTGGGAGATGAGGCGAAGTCCTGGTAAATAGAAAGGTCAAATGTATACATAGGGTGCTAAAGGGACAGGAGAGGGGTACCTAACTCATTCTGGGGAGTTTAGGTAAAACTTTGAAAAGGAGATAACCATTCAGCCTTAAAGGATGAATAGAAGATTAGGGTATGAAAAAAGAGAACAAGACAAAGGTAACAACGTAAAGAAATGCAAAGTCACAGACAGCAGTTTAAGACAGCATAAAGTTCCAGGACAGAGTTAGTGATACTTTAAGCTGGTATTATAAGAACCAGCGTCTGCCATAATTAAGATTATTTATTAGCAGTTACTACGTATCAGAGACTGCACCAAACCTTCATATACTCTATCCCATTTGTCCCTCCCGTATGTCCTTGGAGTTAAGGTTTTAATTATATTTTATCAATAAAGAACCTGAAGTTTACAATGCTGAAGTAACTTGCTCCAGATTTACAGGAATATATGGCAGATTGAAGATTTGAACTGAGATAGGTCTAGTTCTAGAGGTGCGCTCTTAACGTCTTTACTATTTTGCCCTAGCTGAGGAACTTTTATCTTTTACGTTAGGGACAGAACACAGAGTTTAAAAAAAATTTTTTAATTAACTAATGACATTTCAACATTAGAATTCACATAACATAACATTTCATTTTCTATTGAAAAATTGGAAGATCTAGATGGATAGATCTAGTGTGGTAGTGGAGAAATTTGAAGAGAAATATATCTAGGTTTGTGTTCTTAATGGTCCATGTGAGACATAAGGGCTGAACTAGGGTATTGCTAATAATAGAGATAAGGGAAGGTATAAATTAGATATATTAAGTGGTAGGTTGGCAGGACTTGATGGTGGGTGATCAGATGTACCAAGTGAAAGAGAGGAAGAGTCAAAGGTGAATTCTCGGTTTTATATTATAGCATGGGTTGGATGGATAGTGGTACTTCCACATAAGTTGAGAATGTCAAAGGAAAAGGGGAAGAGAAGAAAACTTGGTTCGGGGCATGTTGAATTTGAAATACCTTGAATCATCCAGTTGAAATCTTAATCACAGACATAAATTGGTGATCATCTCCATATAGATGGTAAAATGACAACTAATGATGAGGTTTTTTAGGAGTTCACTTTTTAAATCTTTAAATTGCATCTCTCTCTTGATACCCAGAGCTTAAATTTATACACTCAGCGTATTTTATGTAAGATAATTGTGGCAGTCTTCTAATTGATCTCCTACCCCAATTTTGGCATCCCCCAGTTCTCTGCAAAGCTTTCGTATTGCCTTTTGTTTATAAACCTTTGATGACTTTTTTGGCTACAGGAAAGTGTTTGTTCCTCAGCACTTTAGAGGTAGTCTTCCATGATCCAGCCTATTTTCCTTCCCAGTTTCATTTCTCACCACCCTGTCACCTGCAGCCTGTGTTCTGTTTACCTGAGACTTCTCAGTATTTCCCCCCACTGCATCCCTTCGTGCTTCTGTAACTCTCCCAAGTCCTGAGGATAGAGTTGATTGCTCCCTCTATGCTTCCCCAGTACTAGACCAATGTAATCTTTTTGTGTCTGGGCCATATCACATTGTCTTACCATTATTGTGTGTGATATATATTCCCTAGCTAAGCCATGATCCCTCTGCATACAGGGATCATATTTATCTTTGCATACTCAGTGCTCAGCACTTGACAGATTAGGAACTTAGATATGTGTGAAATGTGCGAATAAATAAATGAATGTGGAAGTTGAGTAGACCTAGAACTATAGGAACTCTTTACCTAGCTTACTCTTCTGTTGCCTTTAATTTTGTCATTCTTAAATGTATTTTTTGGGGGTGGGTGGGTGAGTGAACTGCTTTTTTATTTATTTATTTTTTATTTTTATTAAATCAAACACATAGATCATGTATACATTAATGCATTTATGGGGTACTATGTGCTGATTTCATAAAGAATTAGGAATGCTTAAATCACTCTGGTAAATATATACCTCATCTCGTTTACTTAGTTATTGTGTTAAGACATTTATACTCTATACCAATAGATCCGACATGTACCTTCTTAGAATGTATTGATCATTTACTTAGTACCAGGCACTTTTCTAAGCACTTTGATGTATTCTTCATAACAGTCAGATGAAGAAACAAGCACAGGGGAGTTAATTAACTTATCCGAGATCCCGTATCTACCGCATTTCCCCGAAAATAAGACCTACCCAAAAAATAAGCACTAGCAGGATTTCTATGCATTTGTTAAATATAAGCCCTACCCCGATAATAAGACCTAGTGATGGGCATGGCTATGCAGCATGTCTGCATAGCCACGCCATGCATTTTGGCCAGTGTGGTAAGGAAGACTGGAATACCTTTTATCTGCCACAGCTCCTTTCTCTGAGCATTCGCACTTGCACGGGTGCGTATGTGGTAACCGTGGTCACAGGCATCCACACGTGTGAATGGCTAGGGGAAAGGAGTTCATGCATCACTAGCACCAGCCCCACCAACAAGGTCGGCTCCCCTGTCAGGTTCCAGAAGATGACTTAACTGTATTTGAATAAATGTAGAGTGTTGTATTATACTTAATAAAAATAAGACATCCCCTGAAAATAAGACCCAGTGTGACTTCTTGAGAAAAAATAAATATAAGACAGTGTCTTATTTTCAGGAAAACACGGTAGTACATAGAGGAGCTAAAATACAGTTACTGGCATCAAATCATTAATGTTATTTATTGAGTCGAGTATGAGTTTTCTACTAATTAAACCCCTCAGACAGGTCTAGGCTTGTTTTCTGTGGTCTCTTTTTTCTTAATTTCTGAAATTTTTCCAACACTCACTGTTCCTTCTGGTTTTTCTCCCTGCATAGTCTTCTATTTTCCTTCCACAAAGACGGATTCACTGAGTTAGAGCATAGTCTTTCCAACTGGCCCCAGAAGAGTCCTTCTAATATCAGGTGTCTGTTTTTGGTTTTGTTTTGTTTTTGAAACAGAGCCTTAAGCTGTCCCCCTGGGTAGAGTGCTGTGGCATCACAGCTTACAGCAACCTCCAACTCCTGGGCTCAAGTGAGTCTCCTGCCTCCGTCTCCCAAGTAGCTGGGACCACAGGCGCCTGCCACAACGCCCGGCAATTTTTTTGGTTGCAGCCATCATTGTTGTTTTACTTTAGGGACATGGAATCATAACAAAGATGAGAAAGTTATAAACTATGAGAACTCTTAAGTTAATCCTCCCTAGTCCTGAATTTCTTGCTAAATAGTACCTAAAATGTACAGTATTTTTTGTACTCATCTTTACTGAAGGTGGCCCTCAGCAGGCCTTATTTCCAAGAATTCAAGTCCTCTAGGTTCAGCTGACCTCCTCCTTACAAAGAGCTTGGTCTTGGTTTTTATTTGTGAATGTTAAATAAGAGCCCTGAGGAATGTCTGAGATTGACGTGCGTCTCCCTGGACTTTCATCTCAACTAGCATGCATTATAGAGGGCCTGAGCGCCTGACTTTGAAACATTGTCTAATAATTAGCTCTTCCAAATTTCTAACTAATAGTCACCTATGTGATTTTTAGGTGTTAAAAACCAACATTGAAGCATATCTTATTTCTTTTAGGCTTTAGAAAATTTGAGGGTGTACTTGTGTGAGAAACTCATAGCTGAGAGACATTTTGATCATCTGCGTGCAAAAAAAATACTCAGCAGAGAAGACACTGAAGAAATTTCTTGCCGAACATCAAGTAGAAAAAGGGCTGGAAAATTATTAGACTACTTACAAGAAAACCCCAAAGGACTAGACACCCTTGTTGAATCTATTCGGCGAGAAAAAACACAGAACTTCTTGATTCAGAAGATTACAGATGAAGTGCTGAAACTTAGAAATATAAAGCTAGAACATCTGAAAGGTAAGATATCTTAGGTGTTTAAGAGTTAATATAAATGTAACAGTGCTTTTTAAAAATACAAAAGCAAAACAAAAATGCAAATTAAAACCAAAATACTCAGAAGTGATCATTTTACTTTTAAATCTTTCAATTTCAGAATTACATTTAATTTGCATTTCTTTGACCTTATGTGATTTCTTTACATTGCAAAATTGAAATACCATTCAGTATCCTAATTTATATTTATTTAACAATGCCATATATAGAAAAGTTACAATCTTGAAATCCCTGTATACACCAGGGTTTGTTTCTGAAGTCAGCAGAATGTAATATTATTCTATTCAAAAGTAATCGCTGAAAATACTGTACAGCACACAGAGTTTAAGCAAAGTATTTTAATACAACTCTGCTAGTTTTCTCCCACTAGTTAATCACAATATGAAGTAGTTGACATATGTTTATAGGGATCATGTTGCATAAAATAAAATATTTGTGACTGTAAACACTAGAATCACAGTCAAGGTAAAGAGGCATGGGATCTGAGATCAATTAAGGGAGTACCACATTTACTTCTCCCATTTTACCCTCACCCCAAAAACACCACTCACTGATTGGAATGTTATATAGAATTGCCGGCACAATTTAAATTCTACCAACCCCATTCCCCTCCCCCCGTCTCCCTCTGTCTTTCTATCCAGGCCTTGGGAAGAGAAAGAAATGAGTAATTTAGGGCCCTGCCCTTAAGGAATTTAGAGTCTATAAATCCTTGCTGGGACATGTTAGAAGTTTCCCTATTTGAGCTATGTAAGAAGAAAATAGTTTTTATACAATGCGACAAAATACTCAATGTATCATGAAGTTGAAAAAATAGTTTTAAGAAATGACATACAAATGTACTTTATAGACATAGGTTTTACCTAAAATTTGTCAATTCAAGAATTGCCGTGCCTATAGACAGGTTAAATGTTTGCTAAGCTTAATAGAAAAATAGTGTTTGTTCCTTCAATCTTGTGGCTAATTGTTAGCTATACTCTTAGGATATGATAAAATTCTTCAGTAGTATCTTAGTTCATTTTCTATAAGAATGTGTGAGACTGGGCAATTTGGGCAATTCATAAAGAAAAGTTATTTTGAGAATCCTAGAGACTGGGAAATCCAAGAGCATGGTGCCAGCACCTGGCAAGGGTCATCTCCTGGCAGAAGGGTAAAAGGGGGCAGAGCTCCTGAGGGCATTAATCCATTCATGAGGGTGGAGCCCTAATTACTCAATCACATCCCAAAGGCCTCACTTAACACTTCCAGGATGGCAGCCAGGTTTCCAGCACACAAACTTTTAGAGGACACATTCAAACCGTAGTAGATAGGAACAACCCCTGTCATTTGAATAAACTATCAGGTTGAGAACCAGGATGTTATCATTTAATTATAGTTCTCACTCTCCCATGGAATAGTCCTGGAATGTTGAGCATGACTTAACTGTACCTCTGTTTTCTCACCTGTAATAGGAGAGACTATCTCACATGATCTATAAACTCTTTCGCTTACAACAGCGATTCTCAACCTGTGGGTCGTAACCCCTTTGGGGGTCGAATGACCCTTTCACAGGGATCACCTAATATCCGATATTTACATTATGATTCATAACAGTAGCAAAAATTACAATTATGAAGTAGCAACAAAAATAATTTTATGGTTGGGGGGTCACCACAATGTGAGGAACTGTATTAAAGGGTCACAGCATTAGGAAGGTTGAGAAGCACTGGCTTACAACATCCTGAAATTCAAGAGTCAGTAATTGCTATTAGTTGACTCACAAAATTTTAGTATATGCCTTGTTTAAATTTTGTTCTTAATTGGCTAACATATTTTGTACCAGAATGCTAAAGAATATTTATTAGTCGTGAAAGATATTTTTTATTTTAGAAACTGCTTTATTTTTTCTAGTTTCTTCAGTGGTTAAGTATATGAATATTCTGTATTTTAAATGTGAATTATAACATGGCATTTAACTTCCTTGAGATATTATTTCCTTATCTAGAAAATGCAAATAATAGTATACTTTGTGGTTGTTGAGAAAAGCAAGGGAGATTTAAAATGAATTATGACAGAATTTATAAATTTCTGTTATAGGACTGAAATGTAGCAGCTGTGAGCCTTTTCCAGATGGAGCCACAAACAACCTTTCTAGATCAAATTCAGATGAGAGTAATTTCTCTGAAAAACTGGGAGCATCCACTGTCATATACCACCCAGAAGGAGAATCCAGCACGGCCCCCTTTTTTTCTACTGATTCTTCTCTGAATTTGCCTATTCTAGAAGTAGGCAGAACTGAAAATACCACTTTCTCTTCAACTACGCTTCCTAGACCTGGGGATCCTGGCGCTCCTCCTTTGCCACCAGAGCTGCAGTTAGAAGAAGAAGGAACTTGTGGAAACTCTAGTGAAATATTTCTTCCTTTAAGATCACGTGCTCTTATGGCTGGGCGCGGTGTCTCACACCTGTAATCCTAGCACTCTTGGAGGCTGAGATGAGTGGATTCATTGAGCTTAGGAATTTGAGACCAGCCTGAGCCAAGAGCAAGACCCCATCTCTACTAAAAATAGAAAAAAATCAGCCAGGCATTGTGGGGGGTTCCTGTAGTCCCAGCTACTCAGGAGGCTGAGGCAAGAGGATCACTTGACCCAGGGATTTGAGGTTGCTGTGAGCTAGGCTGATGGCATGGCACTCTATCTAACCTGAATGACAGAGTGAAATTCATGAAGATAAAAAAAAAAAAAAAAAAAAAGAAAAGAAAAGATTACATGCCCTTCAATTTTTTCTAGTAATGACGAGAAATGTTTTAAAGGATAAGAATCTTTTTATAAAATTGCTATAATGATTTATTTACATGTAATACATCTTAAAGCACAATGTAAGGATACTTTGTAAATAGGACTTTTTAGAGTAAAAAAGTATACCTTTAAGATAGTTAAGTACAGCTCGGCGCCTGTGGCTCAAGTGGCTAAGACGTCAGCCACATACACCTAAGGTGGCGGGTTCAAATCCAGCCCTGGCCCGCCAAACAATGACGGCTGCAACCAAAAAAATAGCTGGGCGTTGTGGCGGGTGCCTGTGGTCCCAGCTACTTGGAAGGCAGAGGCAGAACAGCTTGAGGCTCTGTCTCAAAATAAATAAATAAATAAATAAAAATGGCCGGGCGTTGTGGTAGGCAGCTGTAGTCTCAAGTTATTAGGGTGGCTGAGGCAAGAGAATC